TCAATTAATAAACTTGCATAGCTCAAGAAAGGATCTTGAGCTGTGCAAGATGTTACAGTGCTGGGAGGTACAGTGCTGGGAGCTGGAAGAATTTGGCTGGTGCCTTTCTCTGTGTGATTTATGAGCGGCTCTGGAAGCATTCATGCAATCTAACTGAGTGTGGGGCTCCACATGGGTTTGTACTGAGTGATAACAGCACCTGGAGGGGTTTGCTGCTGGTCACTAGCAAGGCATTGTGAGAGACAGCCCAGGCTGGAGACGTGAGGGGACACAGGGGTCCCAGGCTGCACCCCGGGGATCCCGTCACAGTGACGGCCACTGCACAGACACCAGCAAGAGACAGTCCCTGCCCCAGCTGATATCTGGGCCCATTGTGCTGAGCACTGCGCAGACATAACGCCGACAGACCCCAGTCGTTGGTGGATGGGATCAAACCTGGGACCTCTGGAGCTAAATGCATGAGCCTCTACACCACATGGCTCTTAGCTAAGGCTGTAGAGCAGACTCGTTAATCTCTAACTGGTCTTGGTGCCACTAGAGGGGACAGAGCACCACACCTAGGAGGTGTCTGGGTTACCCAGACACAAAGCGAGAGACTGTCCATGCCACAAAAAGCTTGCCATCTGATACGGCAAAACAGACAGAGGGCAGAAGGTGAAAGACAGAAGCTGGCTTGCCCCTGATCATCCAGTGGATCAGAACCTGAGCTAGAAATTAAACCCAGGTCTCCTGACTCCAGGAACTTGGTTGGTCCTCTAGATTGCTGGTATTCCAATAATAACAACCGGCTCAGGGCTAGATCATAGGCTGGAAGGATCAGCGTAGCTCTGCTGACTTCACAAGAGGTATGGCCATCTACCCAAGCTGGGATCTGTCCCATTGAGTCCAGTGGAGCAATGGGCAATTTACATGAACTGGGGATCTGGCCCCATTGACTCCACCAGTGTGACAGCCATGTAGATGAGCTGGGGATTGGGCCCCAATGACTCCAATGGAGCTGTGGCTGATTCACACCAGCTGGGGATCACACAGCCTGACCTCACAAACCTGTCTGGAAAGACAAAGACTCTTCCTGTTGT